ACATACTATACTATGACTGTTTTCATTACATTTTTATGGCATACTATACTATGACTGTTTTAATCACATTTTTATCCCATACTATACTATGACTGTTTTCATTACATTTTTATGGCATACTATACTATGACTGTTTTAATCACATTTTTATCCCATACTATATACTATGACTGTTTATCACATTTTCATGACAAATTATGCTATGGCGTTTTTAAAATAATTTATACATAGTATGATTTTATATATGACATTTTGCATAGCATATTATACTTTGATATATTTTGTGACATTCTGTGGCAGACTGTACTATGCCAATCAGCTTCAGTTGAAGACTGGTCACAATTGCAATCGGAGAGGCACCTGGTTAAGAGAGGAAATGCCAATAATGTCGGTCGGTTTTAAAGCCCTCGTGAGCACACCAAAGAAACAAACAACACGCGCTTGAAAACAATGCTCATGAGATAAAAATGTGAAGTGTTCTCCCTTCAAAATACAAAAATATAAACTAGGACTAAGCAGTGTATTGCAGTAACGAATAGAACTCACCAGACGTCGTGTTGGAGGACTCGGCTTAACTTGTGTTCGGTCGTTCTGGTCCCCAGTAAACACTGGTTTCTCTGTTGTCTTCAGCTGGACAAGGTGCCACAATAACAAACAACTAAACGTGGTTATCTCCCCGGAAGACAGCTCAGCTCAAACCTTATTCTTGCATTTTTATTCATAAACAAAACGAAAATCCCCAAACTACCGAAACAACGCTGTTCCCCTGTGTTCCCCGGGCCACGCCCCCTCACACCTGCGGGACACACACCTGATTACTGTCATCTCATGGAAGGCAACGAGTTAAAGGACGGGTGAGAGGGACACTAAATTTTATTTTTTACGGCAAATTATAACTTTTTTTTAATGACGTACTATATCATGATATCTTTTTAATAATTTTAGACATACTATACCGTGACTTCATAGATGGTTTTTTTTATATATTTATTTTCACTGTGATTTCATGACATTTTTATGGCGTACTTTACTGACATTTTTTGACATTTTGTATCATCATGTTCTTTTAATCACATTTTTTATGCTATGACTTTTTTTTTATAAACTACTATACCATGAATAAATAATAGATAGATAATAGATTTTTTTTTTATCATATAGTATGTTATTTTATCACTTTTTTTATGGCAAACTATAGTCACCACCAGGTGACAAGTGCATTAGATCATGTATTTTTATGTCATGGTTCAGTGTCATGCACAAAATAAAAACTACCGAGACAAAGTGACCGATTCAAAAAACCTTTTTATTAGAACAATACAGCAGATATAAAGGTCTATTGCAATCAAACACTCCCATCAGAACGGAACGTGTGCTTCAACAGACAATATGCGCTCCCCAAGAGAAATAAATTAA